TCTTTTCGGATGGCAAACAACTAAACAGATATGAGTCAGATACGTCAATAAACATGACAATGAAGCCGTTAAATGCCTGCAGAGGAGAGATGAATATCAGAAATGAAAACACATGATCAAACCCTTTAATAAAACACAGAAACAAAAGAGGCAGATGGAGAGGGAATAGCCTCAGGTGCTTTTAGGTTTGTGGAAATGAAGATGATTACAATGAACAATGTTCCGTTTCATCTTTAAGACTCACAAACGTCACACAAATACAGTCATCTCTTCCGAGCGTTACCTCACTAAACAACATAAAAGTCAAAATGAGATCAGAACAAAATCAGTTTTTTTACTAGATAAGGCACAATGCACATATTTTAGTACTGCATTGCAGTACAAACAGTGGCGTAACTTTGCTTTGAAAAGTGGTGGGGACACCGCGCAACTCGTTTTGCTAGTTTTTTATTTAATAACCTAATTTACTTGGGGACTGGGTTTAGAGTTGGACAAACTTTATTTCGGCTTTTCAAAAATGCATCGATTTTATTTTTTTTTGCTACAACATGGCATTAATCAATGCATTCTGATGAACTTTTATCATAGTTTATAGTTATATGGTAACAACTGTTCAACATTCAACCCGTTCTTTTTCATCAGTATTATTTGTGATTTGAATTTTGTGAACGGGAATTCCTCTTTTGCTGTGTTATACGCTGGACTTTGGATGCTTTCGCGATCTTGGTGTCACATTTTATAAGAAAAGCTAATTGTCTGTTTTGCTTATATTTATACACCTTTCACTTTATAAGACTAAAACAAAAGATTGATTCATTGTTATTTTTAATTAAAAAGCACAACAACAATAAAACAGTAGGCTATAATGACAAACTAGCTTACATAACGATTATTAACAAAAATGAATAAGATGAGGCATGGCTCCACATGCTATATTATATACTGACTAATAAATTACAGAATGTTTAGCAAACAGTGAGGAATCAAATAAATAAAAAACTAAAAAAATTAAAGAAAGAAAGGAGCCCTTCACTGCAGAACACAAGATCCAGGGGGCGTGGTTGGATCCACATCTAGGGGGTGGAGATTGGTAGGTTTAGGTATATGTAAGGTGGGAGGAGTTGGATCTGGATCCAACCACGCGCCCTGGATCTTGTGTTCTGCAGTGAGGACCATCTCCGCACCTTCGCGCTTGTGCTGACACGGCAAGTAGCCTATAAACCAGGCTGAAGCATTCGCACGGAAAGCGCCTCTCTTCACGTGATCAGTGAAATCTGACTCCTGCTACAGTGTGCCTGTAGCCTTATAAAAAAAGCCTTATTTTTATGTATTTTTCGTTACAAAAAATTTAATAGAATACACATGTGGCTAATCACATGGGAGGACAGACTAGGATCATACCATTATGTGAAAGAAGGGAGGGGAACACACGCTCTGAAGATAGCGAGTGTAGTGGTACAGGCCAGGTACACAGAGTGACAGAGAGACGGGGGAGCCGGATTTAAAACGCAAGCGCATTAGTTAAGGTAGGAAGACAATTTGTTGCAACATCGATCCGCTCAGAGAGTTTTTTCAAAAACAGGACAAATAATCACAGAGAGGAGAAATCGCATCAGCAGATCCAACCTGAGGCATCTGATATTTCTGAATGCCAACCTGCACTAAAGATGATCAAACATTATGTCTGGTGTCTGAATAGTTTTTGGTTTGACTGAATATAACTTAATAAAAATAAATCTGAATTGACTTGATTCACACTTCACATACATCCATTTCCAAATACGATTTTCAAGACTGATGCGTCCACACTGCAGACCTTGTTTTGGAATGATACAATTGGATTTCTTTGATCAGACAGTCATAATCTGGTATCTAATAGCTATAAATGCTACTGATGTGCATGATATCACATACACGTCATGTCTCTGACTGTTTATCCATACACACTTTAATCACATATTAATGTGGTTTGGATAGGAGTTATAAAATCTGATGAGATTTCTTTTCGGATGGCAAACAACTAAACAGATATGAGTCAGATACGTCAATAAACATGACAATGAAGCCGTTAAATGCCTGCAGAGGAGAGATGAATATCAGAAATGAAAACACATGATCAAACCCTTTAATAAAACACAGAAACAAAAGAGGCAGATGGAGAGGGAATAGCCTCAGGTGCTTTTAGGTTTGTGGAAATGAAGATGATTACAATGAACAATGTTCCGTTTCATCTTTAAGACTCACAAACGTCACACAAATACAGTCATCTCTTCCGAGCGTTACCTCACTAAACAACATAAAAGTCAAAATGAGATCAGAACAAAATCAGTTTTTTTACTAGATAAGGCACAATGCACATATTTTAGTACTGCATTGCAGTACAAACAGTGGCGTAACTTTGCTTTGAAAAGTGGTGGGGACACCGCGCAACTCGTTTTGCTAGTTTTTTATTTAATAACCTAATTTACTTGGGGACTGGGTTTAGAGTTGGACAAACTTTATTTCGGCTTTTCAAAAATGCATCGATTTTATTTTTTTTTGCTACAACATGGCATTAATCAATGCATTCTGATGAACTTTTATCATAGTTTATAGTTATATGGTAACAACTGTTCAACATTCAACCCGTTCTTTTTCATCAGTATTATTTGTGATTTGAATTTTGTGAACGGGAATTCCTCTTTTGCTGTGTTATACGCTGGACTTTGGATGCTTTCGCGATCTTGGTGTATAAGAAAATAAGAAAAGCTAATTGTCTGTTTTGCTTATATTTATACACCTTTCACTTTATAAGACTAAAACAAAAGATTGTTATTTTTTTATTTTTAATTAAAAAGCACAACAACAATAAAACAGTAGGCTATAATGACAAACTAGCTTACATAACGATTATTAACAAAAATGAATAAGATGAGGCATGGCTCCACATGCTATATTATATACTGACTAATAAATTACAGAATGTTTAGCAAACAGTGAGGAATCAAATAAATAAAAAACAAAAAAAATTAAAGAAAGAAAGGAGCCCTTCACTGCAGAACACAAGATCCAGGGGGCGTGGTTGGATCCACATCTAGGGGGTGGAGATTGGTAGGTTTAGGTATATGTAAGGTGGGAGGAGTTGGATCTGGATCCAACCACGCGCCCTGGATCTTGTGTTCTGCAGTGAGGACCATCTCCGCACCTTCGCGCTTGTGCTGACACGGCAAGTAGCCTATAAACCAGGCTGAAGCATTCGCACGGAAAGCGCCTCTCTTCACGTGATCAGTGAAATCTGACTCCTGCTACAGTGTGCCTGTAGCCTTATAAAAAAAGCCTTATTTTTATGTATTTTTCGTTACAAAAAATTTAATAGAATACACATGTGGCTAATCACATGGGAGGACAGACTAGGATCATACCATTATGTGAAAGAAGGGAGGGGAACACACGCTCTGAAGATAGCGAGTGTAGTGGTACAGGCCAGGTACACAGAGTGACAGAGAGACGGGGGAGCCGGATTTAAAACGCAAGCGCATTAGTTAAGGTAGGAAGACAATTTGTTGCAACATCGATCCGCTCAGAGAGTTTTTTCAAGTATGTGTAATTGGAGAGAGTTCAGGGCTAGAAGGAGGATTTGGGAAAAGGCATGTGTGTGTGTGTTTATTAATGAACAATAATTTTTCATTATTGAAGTAAATAAAGATGTTTACAGACCCAATGGATTTTTTTTTTGACTTCCTACTGAAACAGGAAGTTTGAGTAGGAAGTATTTTTTATTTTTTTTAATAGCCAAATAGTTGCATCAAGACCAGGCCCCGGCCCCCACATGACGAATGTTAAAGTGAATGTTAATTATTTAAACCATTAATGAATTATTAATTGGAGGAGCATGGGCGCTTTCTAAATGCATAAAGTTGTGTTTGATTTGCGATTCACAATCAGACGGCTGATTACGGTCATAGCAGTTTCTCCAGGGCGGTTTCATGAGGTCTGATGATGACAGCTAATTCACAATTAAACAGGGTTTAACAGGTTGCTTGAAAATGAAACTCGTTTCATGTAATTTTAATGCTATAGTGTATTCTGTCATGTTTATCAAAATAAAACCGATAAAAAAAAGAGGAGAGTTAACACAAAAGATAGGCCTACATTGTTCTCTCTTTGGCAACATTTCTGTCATGATTCTTAAAAGTAATGTAAATTATGTTTGCAACAGCTGTAGGTTTCTCTCAAAAATGCAATTTTATATTGTATTTTTAACCATGCAGCAAATGTTTTAAAATATCTTTAAAAATTTACTATAAATTAGCCAGCTTTTTATATGAGCACATGGGTGCATCCGTGTCTGCTTTGTCATTGTGCATTATAAGTAGTGGCGCCCCCTCATGGGATTGAAATGCCCTCCCAGTTTTGCCATCCTGGCGCCGGGCCAGGCCTGATCACAACCATGGAAAGGTTTTTTTATTTTATTTTTTTACTTTCTCGGTGCTCTGTTCTTTTTGTCAACTTTTTGGGGTACATTAACACTGGTGTTTTAAAACTTTTTAATGTCAAAGTATGTAGCTCCTAAAGGGACAAAGTAATGAGAATAAATTAAATATGAGGAAAAATTAGATTTCAATGATTTTGAGTTTCATGTAGGTAAACCTTTGTAAGCAAATGTAAAATAGAATAATATGGTGATAGAAATTATATGAGGTTGGGGGGGAAACTATATTTCAATACTTTTGTGATCAAATGCTACATTTCTCTAGGGAAAGCAATACTTTTCAGAAGGAGGAGTGGAACAGTTTTGCAAACAAATGTAGTTGAAGGAACACATGTTTTTGTCAGCGAATGCAAAAGCATTAAAAAAAAGATTGGTAAAGATTGCAACAATGGTTAATATACATTTAAGAAGTTCAAGGCCCAAATTAGAGACAGATGATGAATAACTGAATCAGATGGACAATTAATTGAAAATGCAATAAGTAATTAACAATCACCACCCATGTGAACTCCAAAGTAAAAAGGTGTGTGTGTGTGTGTGTGTGTGCTTATGAGGTCATTCTGTCAGAGTTGATTTCTGAACATCTTCCATCATCTATTGGAGTGTCAGTTCACGCATTAGGTAGGAATGACTGAGATCTTTAACAGAGACAGGCAGACAGACAGAAGGGGGTGAGTAAGTGAGTAAGACAGACATTTGATGTGTGAAGATTATTTCACTTGCAATTCACAAAATCAAAGAAAAATAAGAATTAAAATAACAATATTTTACCTGTTTCCTTGCAGCCTTGTTGCCCTGTGTGTCCAATGTGTGAGCAGCATGTAGTGTTAACAAACGTGACTGCGAAATGGCAATTCGACACTCAGCTATCCAATGAGCTACCACCTCCTACAATGCAATGCAAACCGCATTATTGCACATTACCAACAACAAACTGACTATATTGCATACTTTAAATCAAACCAAAACTACAGGATTGATGCATGAGGTACAAATACACCAGTTGCAATGAAAAGCTTTTCCACTGGGTGTCAGTAATGCGCTATTTACGCTGAGATAAAGAGTAAATTTCAGAAGATTTCTCTGGCAATTTTTATTGGCCTGGCTTTTCTAATGATAACAACCAGTTGTACAAAAAATATATATAAATAAAAATTCTGCCTTCATAAAAAATAGATCCAAGGTTGCGCACAACAAACAGCACATTAATCGTATATGTCTACATACGTGTTGGTAAAGCCTCTTTCCAAAAGCTTGTCTATGGGCTGCGCGTTGGCATAGCAACTCCAGTGCCCACTCTGCCAGTCCCACAGCCCTCATGCAGTGATGAAGTCTACCTGGCCCCAGCCGCCCCTGAGCAATCTCAAAGCCCCGCCCTTCACCTATAACCAACCAATCAGAAAGCAAACAATTAATCTAACTAATGAATAGGTGAATCAAATGCCAACCAGGCATTAATCAGACTATATAAATATATAATCAGATTATATAATTATATATCAAGCATAATTCTCTGTATGGCAAACTGACCAAGTCATTTTAATAAAAAAACAAAAACAAAAGACAGTGAATACCCACAAGGTAAATTCATTTTGTTATGTACCTGTTATGAATGCGTTAAGCAAAATCTATTATGGTTAAATAAATGAATTTAAATGAATTTCTAGTATTCCACTAAATCAATCGATCAATAATTTCTGATTTCACCCCTGTAAATGAGTGCCCGAGGCACTAAAGTTATTTAAGTTTTTGTGGGCTCATTAGTCTGCAGAAAGTGTACACACACATACAGTAGGTGAGTATATGCACCAACAAACAGACACACACACACACACACACACACACACACACACAGAGATTATGATAAATTAATCTCACCAAGAAGAATGTTGGAAGCAGGAACCCTCACATTGTCAAAGTGGATCTCAAAATGGCCACCATGGATTGCATCTACACAGATAAAAACATCTCACTCTGTAGTAAAAGCAAGGGAACCCTCAGAGGGCCCACAATACACACAATCTTCAATATGCATTACATCATACTGAAAATGATAAGGAGGTGGAAAGACAGAAGTGGAAACACAGAGAGAATCAAACAGAGGATGATGAGAGAGTGAGTGTTGTGATATGGGTGTGGAGCGATAGTAAGACACAAGTTAAAGCACAGACATGAAAATGGATCAGCAAAGAGTGAACCTGAAGTGAGGATCTGATAAGCTTCATGTGGCAAGGTAGATTGTGTTACTCAGAACTCACCATCCTGACCGAAAACGGTAAGCGGTCTTATCTTCTTTACTCCTGGTGTGTTCAGAGGGACCAGGATCATGCTGTGCAGCCCATGCCTGAAAAACATTTGCACATGTACACACACATTTACTATATTAATGAAATGTTGGGGGGAAAACACTCCTGAATGAACAGTCAACAACATTTCACAGTGATCTTGTTACACATACTATTTAATTAAGTGTATATTATAATGTGTATACAAAAAAAATATGATTTCTCAGGACTCTCAGGGTAAAAATAGTTAAGAAACAACATTTATAAAACTTGTCTCCTGTGAGAGATTTTCATTAAATATGAAGTTGAAGCGTGTTTTAGTTTCATAAACTTGGATTCAAATGAAACACAAAATCAGGAAAAGTCCACCCTCTCTCTCTTTTCAGCTGCCAAGGTCACTGATCACTGCAGGGAGAAAGCACTAATAGACAGACAGAAGACAGGAAGAGATGATTCTGAACAAAGAAGCGCTAACGGCATGATGGAGAAGAGAAGCAGAGAGCAGGATACTTAAGAAAACAGAGCAAAAACAAGAGTTTCCACATGCTTTAAAGGCAACACTATTAAATAAAATAATTCAAAACCACACATTTGTTGTGTTGATATTTATTGTGTAAACACTCAACACACTACTATATATAAATAATGTGAAAAGATGACAGAAAAATATATACAGTACATATGTATTCAGGGGTGGTTTTGAGGCAGGGAGTCACTGCCCCCATGTCAACAAGCTTGGCCCCCTCTGTGGCCCCCCTAAATTTGTAATCACATCGCCGGAAACAATTTTTAATGAAACTAAATGTAATGCATGGTTTGGCCCATGGTGGTGGTAAAAGAGTAATTTACTGTGCCATATAACCTTTCAAACTCTGCATAGAATAAATTATTTAAAGACCAATGCAGAGAAGTGATACTGCACAAAGAGAGTGCAGCATGCCAGTAGTAGCAATGGCCATTCAAGAATGATTAGACACTCTGTCTGCACTTGCCCAGAGAGTTTTAAAATGCAGACAGTAATGGTTCAAACTACATAAACATATGACAACATGGCAAACAATCATGGCAAACTTTGGATAACTTTTTAAAAGGACATGACGTGTGGCTATGTATGGTGTCCCATACTTGTAATTTGTGCTCTGCATTTAACCCATCCAAGTGCACTCAGACACAGCAGTGAATAGTGAACAAACACACACACACACACCATAAACACACACCCGGAGCAGTGGGCAGTCATTATTGCTGCGCCACCCGGGGAGCAGTTGGGGATTCAGTGCCTTGCTCAAGGATCTCACCTTAGTCGTGATATTGAAGGTGGAATAGACCGCTGGTCATTCACTCCCTCCACCTACTACCCCTGCCTGTACAGAGACTCAAACCCACGACCTTTGGGTTACATTATTATTATTAGTAGTAGTAGTAGTAGTAGTAGTATTTAATGAGAAATAGCTTAATCAGTGCAGTACAATTTATTTGTTTAATTTAAAATTTAAATATAAGATAGTATGGGTTACATTATTATTATTAGTAGTAGTAGTAGTAGTAGTAGTAGTATTTAATGAGAAATAGCTTAATCAGTGCAGTACAATTTATTTGTTTAATTTAAAATTTAAATATAAGATAAAATAAAACTGAAATTTCCGTCAAAACATACACACTTGTGCATGCCTCATGTATATGTGTCACATGCTAGAACAAACTTCAAGTGCTGCATCACACACACGTCACGCATACACAAGCTTCTGTTTGTATGTAAATAAAAGCCGAAATTAAATCTGTAAGGCAATCACACTTCTTCAGAAGACCTTAATCCACTCGAAGCACATGGATTTGTTATGCAGCCTTTATACTCTTGAGTGAACTCTCTCTTAAATGTATTATTTTGTTATAGCTAACATAATTTTTAAAACTAAAAATTATGTTTTGTTTTTGTTAGTTGTTTGTTATTTTTTGTTAGTTTTGTCTATTTACAGTTCAAAAGTTTTTTTGAAAAGAAATTAATACTTTTAGGCATTAAATTTATCAAAAGTGGCAGTCAATACCTACATTGTTACAAAAATGTATATATTTAAATAAATGTCATTCTATTAAACTTTCTATTCATAAAAGAGCAGCACTTTGCCATCACAAGACTAATATTTCATAATATTACTGTTTTTACTGTGCTTTTGATTAACATTTAGTCATTTAGCAGATGCTTTTATCCAAAGTGACTTACAA